AGCAAGAGTCCTACTTTCAAGGTCTGGGAGGCAATAAGGGCTGTGGCAAGAGCCTGTATTATTTTGGGAGTCTCTTGGAATACCCTGAAACAACTCAAAGGGAAGTTTCTCTTGTGTGGCACTGTGTTTTTGGTTATATATCCTTTAGCTGTACATGTATACTTGGTTATTTATCAGATGTGTATTTTTTAATAGGGCTTCGAATTAATACATTGCCCTCTGGTTTTTCATACCATCTAAGCATCATTTATCTCTCCTCCTACTCCCCTTGTATAACCCTTCCTACTCCATCCCTAGTTACAGTACCCCCCTTCCCTCTTAACAACACCCGTCTCCTACTATCCCCCTCTCTTCACACCTTCTTCCCCTTGATCATTTCCATTTTCCTGGATCCTGCAGTTACATCAGGATACATACTCACGTTTAGTGATTTGGTGCTAAGATCCTGGGCTTGAGTTTCAGCACTCTGCTGTTGTGGTGTGTCAGACTGTAAATGGTTTGTAATGACTGGGAATATTTGAATCTCTAGAGGGTCTTATTCTTCTTTTGAAATGATTTTCACTTTTGATTAATTTTGTTTAACAAATTATAGCTTATATTATATTACACAAGTGTAACTAGATGTTCGTCATAAAAAATGGGAGAAAATATCAAAATGAGAGAAATACATGACTGTTTAGTATTTGAGATTTTATTTTGTAACTATGTTCACATTCATATTTAGTCTCACACTTGTATTAGATGCAATGTTTAGTATGTTTTTATTATTTGTATTTTAATATTAGAGCCTGATTTGGAATTCAAAAATAATCATTGACTGTCTTGTTAAGGTAATCTTCTGGTATTCATAACTATGGCAGTGAACAAAATGCACAAAAATCCATGACCTGTGGGAAGAAAGATAATAAATAAGTAAGTAAACTAGCTGGAGGGCAACATGTAAAAGTGGAAAAATACTAAAGAAAAGGTTGATTCAGGAGGGATTATGTGGGGATGGGGCAGGGATGCAAATCCTCTCCACTTTGCTGTAACTGACCTACCTCATGTTTCTACCAATGTATTTGAAGTATCTGTATTCATGGTTTTTATTGTTCTGTTACTATGAACTATATGGAACTGTTACTACACTGAAACATGGAATTTATGGTAACCAGAATCTGTGTTCTTGGGCCATGGTCACTCATGTTTGGCTCCAGAATAAACTATTCCTTTCCCATTTGAGGTGATAGTTTTGCTTCAATCATATATTAACTGAAAAAGTTAATAGTGTTGGAGAGATGGTTCAGTGGTGATAGTGTTTGCTGCACAAGCAAGAGACTAGAGTTTGAATCCTCTAAACGTGTAAATTCCTAGTGGGCATGGAGGCTCCCCTGTAATTCCAGCCTTGGTAAGTGGAAACAGAATTCTCCAGCCAAGCTGGCTATTGAGACAACACATAAAGGCAAGATCTGGCTTTGATCAAGAGAGTCTGCCTCAAAGACCAAGGTCAGAGAAAGATCAAGAGACTAAGGAAGTTTTCTGAAATCAACCTTGGGCCTCAACATGCACATACACTTTCACACACATGTATGAGCACATACATGCGAACATGCATACATCCATCCCTTACCCCTGTACACATAAAATTAATAAGCTGCAATATATAAGGCACACATGTCAGTGTACAGGATGAATGCGTTCTGGAGATTGAGTAAGGCCCAATGACTGCAGTTAACAGCAACATAGTCTTTACTTGAAAGATACCAAGACAGAGGAATGTAAATGTCACAACCATGGAATAAGTATGTGGGTGACAGAAATGTGACCTAGGTTCATTGTTCACTTCATAATGCACATTTAGTAAAATTCACCTTATCTATCCCAAGTACATACAGGTTTTTATGCATCAATTGAAACGTGCTTTAAATTTTTATTTAGTTTTAAATTGACAATAATTCTTTATATTTGTAGGGTACAATGCAAACTTTAGATAATGTAGATATGCACTATAGTATGATCATACAGGCTTAGCATACCTATCACGTCATGTATTTATTATTTCTTTATGGTCAGAGCGTCAGAGTGTACAAAATCTTCTCTCAACTGTGTGGCAATCTACAACATTATGGCATTTTCAGAAATGTGTGCACACAGCCCTTTGTTCTTCTCCCTCACACCATCCTCCAGCCTCTCCCCTTCCCTTGAGGGCGCTCTTCCTCAAACAGTGCCCACTTCTGCTTTTGTGTCCCAGGTTTTGCTTTACTCCCTCTTGTTCCCGTCACGCACTCAGTTTTAACCAGGACGGCTGAGGAAGACCTCAACGAAAGTGTGGTATTTGGTGAAGACTGAAAATAAGTTTTTTGGGAGCCAGGCATGGTGGCACACACCTTTAATCCCAGCACTTGGGAGGCAGAGGCAGGCAGATCTCTGTGAGTTCACGGACAGCCTGGTCTACACAGTGAGTTCCAGGACAGCTGGGGCTGCGGGGAGACCCAGTCTCAAAAAGACACACAAAAAAGTTTTTGGGTAAGAAACAGAAATATTTTAGAAAATTATGCTCCAGTAGGAGAAACAGTGGGTACAGATGTCATGGGACTGCTTAACAAAGAGCAATGAAGTTTCATTTTTTCCTTATGTCTTCTTCATGTCAAATATGAAGGTGTGAATTGTGACTATGAACATGTGAATTCTTTTCAACATGTCACTGAAATGGTCATGGGAAAGATCACAAATGATATTTTTAATCCCGAAGTATTTGGACAAATAGTCTAATTTCTCTCTGCGTCTTTCTTTCCTCTTGTCTGTCCATCTCTCTCTCCCTCTCCTGTTTGTCCCCTCACCCCCCACTGTCTCTCCTCTCT